ATTTCCAAGACTTCAGCTTAATTTCCTAATCTCTTGAGCCATTCCTCCTTATACATTCTTAATATTAACACAACTAAAGCACCACACTTCAGAGACCCATCTTCTATTGGAAAATTGTGTTTTCTAATTTACTGTAGTCAACAATCCAATTTATTTCACTGATAAATTTGTAAGACGAGGATTATATATAGAGAGCTCCTGTACTAAGTAACTCTACTGCTAAATAGCTATATGATTTTAAATTATGAATTTAAAGCATATGAACTAAGATGAAATATTTTAAGCAAAAATCTCTGCTAGGAAAATAGAATTTATATTTTATTTTATTTTTTTTTTAATTTACATGTATAATACCACAGATAGATGATAGTGCCACCACACAATGTATTACTAACATTCCAGGTAAGAACAGCCACCTATTGTGGCAGTCCTTCATATTGGTTACTTTTACTATCAGACTTTACTTTCATTAGGGCTGCTGTGAAGGTGAATTGCCAAAAATTCTACAGCATCAATGGTTATGATAATTAATATATAAAAGTGCATCTAATCTGTCTCCCACATTTATCATTCACAAAGGTTTGTGTAACAGTAGACAAAAGCAGGTGCACAGGTACTCCAGATTCTAGTAGCTCAGAATGCAGCCTTGTCTTGAAAGGCTGAACAAAGAACTTTTAGTTTGTTCAATTATGATTTCAGCTTGGGCTTAGCAGTAAGCAGAGAGCTTTGCACTGGGATCGTTATTATTTAATATTATGCCATTATATGCATACTTTATTCCCTGCAGGGGAATAAAAAAAAAACCCAAACCCAAACCCCAACCAAAGCCAAAAAACATCCACCACCCAGAAAATCTAGATAAATCTACAGGTCTGATTCATTAAAGTGAAATCTAGGCACTATGAAATCAATGGCATTTCTCTTATTTTGCTCTCCTAGGCCTGTGAGGTCAGTATCACTATAGTTAGTACCTGAGTACCTCACAACCTCTAACTAAGCTTTATTACAACTCTCCTGTAAGTTGGGTACTGATGCTATCCTCATTTTATAAATGGAAACTACGATTAAAAAAAAAAAAGTATTAATATGGTTATTTTAGCTGAGGCTCCGATTACCATTTGAATACGAACTTCACAGCTCACCACATTGCCTACAGAATGCTTTGCACTATGGCTTAGAGCTAGAGCGAGCCAAATGGATCACAAGACAAAGAAAACTCAGGTGTGAAAGAAAGGAGACAGACTTCAGAGAGAGATAGTTACCGATCTGGGCTCTGTGAGACTGGGTAAATTACTAAACAGTAGTTGTTTTCTAGCACAGAACAATAAAGGCACAATTTGCAGTGAAAATTCAGCCTCTACTGTCAGCTGTAGAAAATGAAGGGATGATATGAGATGCGTCCTCTCATAATCATCATTTCTTTATTCTGCAAACATGCAAGGCACATTATAAAACATAATAAACAATTCCAAAAAGAATACACTGAAATCTTCGGAAACTAAGGAGATGCAAATAATGCACCATATGTAGGTACTCCTGCAGCGATGAAGGTACCTTAGCTGTAATGGATTAACAGCATTTTGGAAGGAGAAAGTTGGACTTCATGCTGAGGGGAAAACAAATGGTCAAAGAGAAGTATGGAATTCATAGCCAAAATAAGAGTGAGGTCTATCCAAGAAGAATCAGTAGTCCAATGGTTAGGACATTTAGTGAGTTCAAAAGAATTCAAGATTCTGACAAAACCAGTAACTGTATATTTGTCTTGTTCTTCAGCAGAAAGTCAGGTAGTCTCAAAAAGTTCAGCAAGACAAGGAAGAGAGTTTTCCATCCAGTTATTCATTTGCTAATATTTGGATACAGATGAGAATTAAAATACCTTAAAAAGAGAAAATAGAGTTGCTACATAGTAATTCAGCTCTGACAAGTCATTTCAGCATACTTATTTCACACGTCTCATGCAGCTGGAAGGAAAGATTCTTCTTCCATGGAGTAGCTCTACTGAACATGGACAGCATTTACTCCATTTTGATGTCTTGCATTATGGTACAAGTACGTGAAATCTTGAAATTTTCTGTTTATTCTGATCCCAAACCTCAACTTTATTCTTAAAACCCATTTACACTCGCAGCTTCTTTAAAGCATGGTCTTTAGCAGTGAAAGACACTGAGAAAGTCAGAATGTTAATTTTCCATATGAATTACAAGAATGTGCTACAAAAAAAAAGCCCCCCCAAACCCAAACAACAAAAACCATTAAATCAGTAGATTGAATGTCCCAGAACAAGCCTGTTCAATTTGCCAGGATAAAAAGCTCCATTATTCTTACTTTCTTATAATCTAATAAAGATACATATAATTCTTAAATGAAAACTTAGTTTCACAGTTACTTGCCTTCATAAGTTTCAGTTTCATATTTTTACATGAACTTAAACAGAATGAAAAAGAACATTTCGCATAAGAGATCCAAGAAAAGCACCCCACGATCTGAAAAAAAAGTACATTATTCTAATAAAACTGAAGAAACCACAGTTCACTATTTATTTAAATCAGTGTTCTGATATATAATATTTTTTTAAAAAAATCAAAGCAGCTAGAATATAAAAGGCACAGAAATACTGAAGTACATACCTTCACAAATGCTTGACTTGCTACGCTATATGCTTATAGGAAAAAGTACTTTTATAGTAGGAACAGTTAAACTATACTGTGTTCAATATTGAAAAGGTAGTTCATATTGCAGAGTGCTGCAAAATGTAGGAGATGAAACAAATGTTTAAAGTCTGAATTATGCAGTCTAAGTAGCGGAATGAGTCAAATTAAATTAACAGGACACTGGAGACCAAAGCTGATCTCTCCAAAGATTAACACTTTTATTCACACCATTATTCTTACTTTTTCTTAAGACATATTTGGTTCTTTATGCCAAGATCGCAATGTGTGATGCTTGGCAAAGTAACTCTATTATTTAAGTTACGTGTATAAAATGTGCTTTTCCACACTGGTCTCCTGAGTCATGCCCATAAATAAATATAAACGGACAAATCTTTCTCTTCTCAGAAACGGCTTCTCAAAACAAAATGCAAGATAAAGAAGACAAACCCAAAAAGCCACTTTCACCAGAAAACAAAGAACTCACTGCTTCCACACATACATTATTCTTCTCTGGAAAAGGCCTTCACTGGATCTTCAATGGCCAAAAAATTGTGTTGACACCATGAAGCACTGCTAGTGAAAGTTGCTTTCACCAGCACAGTCTGTCCTGTGTCCTAGTGTAAGTACCCGTTTGGCTGGTAAACCCCTCTGTTACTACCACCATGAAGTAGTGCTGTGAATATGCATCCCTATAGTGGAAAAAGTTCATGGACATCATTTTACTTCCAGTGATAAAAAAAGTTTTGCAGAAGCAATCCCATTCTGCTTCCTGTAAGAAACTACAAACCCCACCGCTAAGGGTTCAGTGATCAAAAATCTCTTCAAACCACCCAGCAGGTTCTAAGTTTGCCACTATTCCTCGTGACTCCGTACAGGTAGAAAAAGATGACTGCGCAAGGACAGACCTCCACCTAGACCTCAAACAAGAAAAAGGAAAGGCAAATTTTCTCATTACCATATAATAAGCTGCAATTGGTCCATAAGCTTCTACTATTCCCACACTGACTTTATACAGACACTTAAAGTTTCATGACTGTTGATACATTCCATATATGATCAATTTAAATCCAAACGAGTTGAAACATTTAGTGCCAATTAAGGATG